CGCGACCAGGGGGTCATTTGGCCACGGCGCGAGTGAAAATTTAATTATGTGTGTTGTAGTGTGTGCTCTAGTGTTGTCCTATTATTGTTGCATTTTTCGTGTTTATTTATCTTTCTTTTTTCTCAATTTTAGGTCATTTCTTTAGTTTTTAGTCCATTTCGTATTTTATTATGTGTTTTCCTTCATTGTTTAGGTGTTTTTCGTTTTTTTTTTCAATCTTTTTTGTGTTTTGTCGTCTTTGGTGTGTAGGTCGAGAGCTTCGGACGAATTTTCTCAACAGGAAAAAATGTCTTTAAAAGCATCACTGGATAGATGAGTTGTTAGCGACGCGTAGGAAAAAACGGAACTCAATTCCGAGTTCGGACGAGCTCAAACGAGGCGAAAACGCAAAATGGCGCAGTGCAGGCCAGCATCTCGTGACTCGCGAGCACAAAGTCGCAATTCGCGAGTGCAAGTCGCGACTCGCGACTTTAACAGAGCCTCCCAGCGCCCCCAACGCATTAGATTCACGACTCAACTCGCGAGTCGTGACCGTTCGACCCCTGTTTTTTATTTTGCTCGTTTTTTTCTCGTTTTAGCTCCATTTTCCTTTCAAGTTTTCCCTCCAAAAACTCAATATTGTTAGGATAATTTTCTCCGCTTTTCTTTTTATTTTTTCATGCTTGGATTGTTGGACACAAAGATATTTGTATTGAAATCTTGCAAGTCTTAATCCGATTGTAAGCTTTAAATTTTATTTTATTATTATTGTTGGTTGATTTTATGTTCTTAATTCCAGTTAACATGAGATTGAATCTAAGCATGAGATAATCCATTCACCTAGGGTTAGGGATTTTGATTCTTGTTTGAATTATGTGGAATGTGTTTTGTTCAATCCATGCGAGTTGTGTGAATTATATGGTTAGTTGATTGATCACCATTCTAATCGATGTTTAGAACCGAGAGGGGAGACGTCTGTCGATTTAGGCTCGTATCGAGTAGACACGTTCGTAAAAGTATTGTCTATGTGTTGCTTGTTTGAATGAGTTTATCGTTTATGTTTGTACTCTTCTTACGAAGAGTTATTGAGCGTAGCCCTCTAGACGTGTAGGCTTGTTAAATCTCGTAACCGAACAAATAAGCGTTCAACATAGTTTAAGACTTGATGAGATTTCCCGACTCCTAGAACTTCTTCAACTTCTCTAGCAATTTATTTGTTATTTCATTATTCGCTTTCCTAGTTCTAATTAGTTTTAGATATTTCTCCAAATCATCCTTGATTAGAGTTTTTAGGATTTATTTTCTTTTCGTGTGTGATCAAAACCAACGCTAAATTCCAAACCGTCTTCCTCGAGAGATCGACCCGGGGAACGAATCTTTTGATCGGTACTCGGTAAAAATAAAAATAATTTGCTACAACAACTAGTAGGTATAAATACATTTAATCATTTGTATTTGGAGTACCTAGATTTCATTTTTCACTTTGCTACTTTAGGAAATGTTCTCTAATTTTTAGTTTTCTCTCTAATTTTTTGTTGGAGCTCTATGACATCATTTTCCTACGACTTTTCTAGTGACGTTGCTTTTATTCAAGTTCCAAGCTTTTTGTTTCGATTTTCGTCTAGCACGCGATAGGGAAGTTGGTACTAGGATTGTAAACGAATCGAATCAAAGCGAATACTCAGAGATTCGATTCAGATTCGTTAAAATATTCGAAGATTCGAATTCGTATCTGATTCGTTAACGAACTCATTTTTTATTCGTATTCGATTCGATTCGAAATTTTTTTTCAAACAAATTATAATTACAAAAAATAATTTTATTTTTCATATATGTTTAGGAAAATTTGTTAATTTATGATGTTTTCACATTTTATGTCATAAAAATAGTAGGAATATAACGATATATATATATATACATATATATTATAAACAAAAAGTATACTATATATAATTTATAAAATTTATATAATTTTTGTTAGCGAATCGTATATTTAAATTTCGAATCGAATATCTACAAGTACGAATTCGGATTCGTTTAACTTTCAAATATAAAACATTATTCGTATTCGAATTCGAATTTGAATATTTCGAATTCGAATCAAAAAAAATTTATTTGTTTACAAGCCTAGTTGGGTACTATCTTCTAGCCTCATTACCTCGTGTTTGCCTCGTTTTTGCTTATGATGCTTTTCAAAATAAATTTGAGTGTTTGCTTGATGGATGAGAGTAAGTTTGGAACTTTTTGTTTTCGTTGTTTGTCTGAGTGATTAGAGTAGTTAATTATTTGCTTATCTAATTGTAAAGGTTGAGACTTTAATTAAAATTTAACCATTTGAGTTTAGAAAGCTAGTATTAATTACCTATGGCTTAGTGCTTTCATATTCCTTTTAGTTACTAGTACAATATCCGTGTATTACACGGGTGATTGTTAAAAAATTATTCTTAAATTTTAAATTAATGAGAAAATTATATTAAATTTAGTTTATTTTTTTACAAAAAAAATAAAAATATATTACTATATATTTTAGAATGATATGTGTTACTTATGACTTACATGTGTTATATTATATTAGTTTTTATAACTTATATCATTTAACTACTTGAAATATAAATATATTAGTTGATAAATAATTTTATTTTTCTAATTAATATTAAAAATAATTTTATTATTGTTATAAATATAAATATAAATTATTTTTTTTATACATACAATATGGATGTTAAATCGAAACTTATCAAAAGAAGATTAATTTGATATATTACATATGTAAAACTGATAAAAATACAAAAGTTATTAACTTTTAAAATATATATACAATTCAATAGTTATAATAAGGAATGATATTAAAATACAATTAATACATGTAACATGACCATAAATAATCAACATATTTATGGTAATCCGAACCTAATTATTTTTGGTTTGAAATTAAATTAAAATTTACCCAAACCTAATAACGAAGCATGTAATTTTGCCACATAGGATTCCGAAGCACCAGAAGCAGCCACGTAGGCTCAGCGCATTCTGTATTAATATATAAGGGGGATTTGCATTTTATTTCGATTAGTAGAGACTCCGGTAGTTTAATTTCTATATTTTCTCGTTTAACTCCCGGTTTGCTTGCTTGCTTTCTATTGCTCTAATTTTCTTGCTCTATTTAGTTCAATATCAACTCAAACCCATTGATTAGAATGTTTAGGCCCTTGTTTTCTCGTTTTGTGATTTTGACGACTAGGTAGTGATCAAAGCCCCGAACAACTGTCCTCGAGAGACACGACCCGAGTGAGATCTTTCGATTGTACTCGGCTGAAAACTACAAAACAACCACGACTAGGAGAAAGTGTTATTCCTTGAAGATACTAATGAAACAAGATCGTGACATATGACCTTAATGTGTTCACCCTAAAGATCAAAATATAGCCTATAAGTTGTTGTTACTAATGAACGTCATTACACTCACGACATGAATTCAAGGCTTAAATCCATTCATTTCGATAATGACAAAAGTTAGATAACTTAAGTGGTAGTTCATACCAGAAGATACCATGACTGAAAGCAAATTATGATAACTCTTGATTATTATTAACTAAGGATTTGGCTTTATGTAAATGTCCACATTCATTTTGCAAAACCTCTAACAGATTTTTTTTGTGCGGTTTGTTAAATAAATTTATTAAATTTTACTTTGAAATGTTTAATGTGGATACACATTATGAAACACATTAAAGTATCTGATATCTCATGAATTAACGTTTTTTTGTCTTTCAAGCACTACAAATAGTGTATGGTGAGAGACATACGAAGACACATCTAAGAGAAGAAAATACAATGTATATATTCTCTTTCATCTTCCACATCTTAGAAAATGAGTTTTGGCAATTGAGCTTCTGATGGAGGTGAGTATGTAAGATAGTGCAGTCTTTAAACTTTGAGCCGTCTTATCCTGGGAGAAAAGACATAGTACTCGTTGCACAGTATCGGGACGTCTGTTTCTTCAAGGCAAACAAATTTTATGTGATTCAGCTATTTGTGTTTGATAGTAATATAGAACTATCAGTTAAATTTTTACTTTTATAATAAATTTATTTATTTACTAATAGAAATCTGATGTCATCTCACGTTCCTGTGATTTCTATTTACAAATTTTTTAATATGTATACATATATATATTAAAACTCATTTTTAATTCACCATTTTATCATTATTTCTACAACAATAATGACAATATGCCCCCGACCTGCCCGATTAAATTCGGCAGCCCATACCAACCCAGTTTCCCCTCCAAACGTACCCGAGAAGACCCGACTAATACTCCACAACCAAAAAACCATTGGCCCATCAAATTGCCTTATGTAAACCTTATCCCGAATAATAATAACATTAACAATCATAATAATCAGTTGCATGCTTGCATGGGCCGTGGGGTCTCTGTAACTTTGGGCCTTCACGAGATGGGCTCGGCCTGCCCGACTCATACCCAATCAAAGCAGTCTGACGGTTTGGGCTGGACTCGCAGCCCGGGGAGGAGGACATGGCCCACAACTGGCAGTTTGAGAGGGAGGTCATGGATTGGCAGCAGATCAGGCATGATTTTGTGGGCTGAAAAATAAGGAAATCATTTGAATATCTGAGTAGCCCACGGTTTTAAATGATTTTTTTTTTTTTTTCACTCTAAATTTTTTTCCCTAGATGAAATTATCAATGTGCAATTAACTGTTATTTCCAAATGATTTATAATACTGTATAAATTTTATAACTTGCACTGCCCGGTGACTATAGTACAATCAATGAAAATAGGATTTGGTGTTTAAGATAACACTCAATTTCTAGCAAATTAATTGCCTTACAACTAATCTTCCTCTCTAAAGCTAGAATACAAGATCATACCATCTCAAATCAACACACTTATCTTAAACCCTAGTACAAGTCTACAACATTCAAAATAGTAAACAACATTGTACCAAAACAGCAAAATACAAAAATGAACTACACACACTTGCATAGATAAAGGCATGCATCTAAGTCAATGTTTCAACACCATCTTCCCCCTCATAACAATCGGCAACCGCGTTCCTCGTCGACCTCCTCACGTTCTTGTACGTGTACCGGCTAGCAAGGACCGCGAAAACGCAAACATCCAAAGCCGTGATCCCGGCCAACAACCAATAAAAACAGTCGACCCGACTACTATTCAAATCCTTTCCAAACCAACTCTTCCCGCCGATTCTCGTCACGCGGTCTACCACCGTTATCAAAAGACTGCTCACGAAATTTGCGGCCCCGAGCATGCAAAAGTACAAACCGACTCCCAAGCTCCTCATCGAGTCGGGCAGTTCGCCGTAGCAAAATTCTTGAAGCCCGACGAACGCGAACGCGTCCCCTATCCCGATTAGCAAAAACTGCGGAGCCAACCAGAAAAAGCTCATCGAGGCCGACCCGCGGGCCGGGTCTCGCCGGACCAAGTCGAGTCGCCGCCGCTCGACGACAGCCGCCACCGACATGGTGAGGATGCATACGGCCATGCCGATGCCGATCCTCCGGAGGACGGTTATTCCCCTCTCGCGGCCCGTGATTTTCCGAACGAGGGGCTCGAGGGCGTAATCGTAAATTGCGATCATGGCAATCATGCCGATCGAGGACAACGCATACATTGAGGCGGGCGGGATGGAGAAGTTGTGCTTGCCGAGCGTGCGGTCGAGCATCATCCCTTGCTTGATGAAGAACGTGGTCGCCTGCACTAGGCTTGTCGCGAAGGGTACGGTTGTAATCCAAATGGCGATCACGTTGAGGACAAGCTTTAGTTCCTCGACTTGGGTCACAGTCGCTAGTCTCCACGAGTTCGGCTCGTCGGGCAAGCTTTGTCCGTTTTCGATGATTGCAGCTTTGTCGAGAAATCTAAAAAAAAAAAATATAATAATAATAAAACGATTACACAACCGTTCATTTGGGTGTAAGCGACTTCACTCTCTACACATGCCAATGTTTAAAAAAAATAAAAATAAAAATAAAAATAAATAAAATAAAATAAAATAGAATTTGAACAGTTGATCTACACATAAACACCCAAACACACTACCGACACGGGTAGGTTCGAATTTTCCCTTCCTATGAAATCAAAAAACATAACTACGAATCACCAGAACAAATGTAGAAATACGAAAAAAAAAATATACGAAATAATCTTACTTGAGTCGATCCGTGCGGACGAGGAGCCTCCCCCGAGTTGCCTTGTCCCCCATCGGAACCTCGTAAAGCCCATCACTCCCCGACGGGCACGGAAGCTTCCTCTTGACAAAAGCGGCGACAAGCACGCGAGCTAGCGGCGTGAATGGGCTACCCGCGGGCTTTTGGAAGCGGTAGAGCGACCGACCGGCCCAAAAAAGCACCACCGCAAAGCCCATGACGGAGATGATAACGACATCGGCCGCGACCCAGCTAACGTGGTCCTGCACGTAGGCGATCACAGTCGACGAGAATATTAATGCGGCACACAATGCTGAGTTCCACCAGTTGAAGAAGGACATCTTCTTCTTGCGCTCCTCCGGGTGGTCGTCGTCAAATTGGTCGGCACCGAAGCTCTCGAGGGTCGGCTTGTGGCCGCCAGTTGCTATCGCGATTAGGTAAATTGCGAGGAAGAAGAACGTCACGTGGATCTTCCGAGCCTTGGGACAGGTGTCGCCAGCACAGGGCTTCAGGGCAGGGGCCACACTTGACATGGTCAGCAAGAACAACCCCTGTTTGGACACACAAAACAAATCAAGAAAATTCGAGAACTGGCACAAAAGGAAGCTTTTTTTCTTTTCTTTTCTTTTTTTTTAAATGGTTGAAATTGGCGAACAAAAGCTTATTCGTTTGGTTTAAATCGAGTCGAGTTCAAGCAGAAAATTAAGCTCGTTCAACAATCGAACAAACACTAGCTCGTTCGCGCAATAATATCCACAAATGTTAATTTAATATGATTTCGTTATATTTAATAAAAAAATCAGAAAAATAGAAAACAAACTCTATTTTTTTTTCCGAGCCCGAATGAGTTCAAACCAATAGATCTTCGTGTCAATCAAACAAGTTTGAAAAGTTTGTTTATTAAATTATTCGAACTCAAACTTTTGACGAACGAACATGCTCGAACACGAATTTTCGCTCGACAGTTTCGAACGTCAAAGCTCAAGATGTCCAAACTCGGCTCTTTTTTGTTCAATTACATCATTAAATACAATTGATGATTGAGATTTGATTTGTGCTTTTTTTTTTTACCAGGAGATAAAGAGCAGAGGCAGCCATGACCGTCCAAAACCGGCCGAGGTAAGAGTCGGCTAGAAAACCGCCAATCAGTGGCATTGTGGTGGTGACGCCCATCCAATAGTTAACGTTCTTTGCAGCCGTTTTCACGTCTTGACCGATCACTTTCGTAAGGTATATGATCAAGCTTGTGATTATTGCAAAGTAGCTTAGACACTCACTAAACTCCATCACTGCAAAATTAATCATACAAAGTTAGCCTTTTTTTTTTTTCTTTTTTTTTCTTCTTTTTAAAAAAAAGAGATTCTATACATATTTTTGGAACTACATTATACAGCTACCTATAATGCAAAGGGCTGCCTTCCATGAACCGGTCTTTGCACGGAGAGGGATTCGTCCTTTACGGTCGACTGATGAGTCGAGCACCCATTTGTTATCGTCCATTTTTTGCTCTATCTCCATCACTTGTGAGTGTCTTGTGTAGTAAAAGAGGTTAGTACTATATATATATATAGATTCCTAAAATGGAAAGTGTTTGTTGAGTACTCTTTTTTTTTTTTGCTTTTTTTAGAATGTATGAGACGAGATTTTTGACTTTGTGTTGGCTCTTGTTATATATAGATCAAGAATCCAGCTTGCTTTACGGGGAATATTGTTGCATGTGATGGTAACTATATGCATGCTTTCATACATTAACGGGATAATGGATAAGGAAAAATGAAGAAGGATCGAAAAACACGAGAAAAATAGAGAATAATAATGAATTCGATTTTATGATATATTTGAACAAAAAGTTAGATGTGCAAATGATTTTCGACTGAGGTTAAAATTTGTGTCTACGACTATCTCAACGAGACAAATTCAGTGGTGGGTCTCAAGGACTACGAAATGGCTAGTAAAACAAAAATAATCAGTACAACAAAAATAATTCGGCCACACTATAGTTTTATCCCACACTATCATAATTAGTATACGATTGATTGATGAAGATCGTGTATCCGTTCAACTCGTCTTGCTTCGAAAGGTGCGTTGCCTCGTCTTGCGTCCTTGGGCTCGGAAGGGTCGATGACCACATTTTCATCAACGATGTAGAACGTAATGACGGAAGAAAATAATGAAATTCCAACGGAAATTTATTATAATAGAATGATTCCAACGACAATTCCAACGGATATTTCAATACTATTATTTCCGTTGGAATTTTTCAATGGATTCCAACGGAAATTCCAACAGAAATATTCCATTGGAATGAGTTTTCCATTGGAATTTCCGTTGGATTTTGACAAATCCAACGGTGGATTTTCCAACAGGGGTGGAAATAAAAATCCAACAGAAATTGCATATTCCAACGGAAATTCCTACGGTAGAAAGCCGTTGGAAATATAGCCGTTGGAATCACAAAATTCCATTTAAAATTCCAATGAAAAACACATTCCAACGGAATATTTTTGTTGGAATTTCCGTTGGAACCATTCCAACGGAATCTATACCATTGGAATATCCGTTGGAATTTCTATTGAAATATATTACCATAGAATTTTCCGTTTGAATATAACAATTTTTTTGTAGTGTCTTCTATTCAATCATCAACAAGTAAATAAATATCTTTCCAATCAAAATAAATATTCTCTTAACCAACTAATTAAGATAAATAAGGAATAATAATAACAACAACAACAACAACAACAACAACAACAACAACAACAACAACAACAACAACAACAACAACAACAACAACAACAACAACAACAATAATAATAATAATAATAATAATGCAACATAAATAATCAAATTAGCGCTGGAAGCTGATCGTATCTGTCCAGAAAAGATATCGCGAGCTTGTCTTCATCATATTTGTCCAGAAAACCATTGCGAGCTCTTCTCCATCAGTGTCTTCCCCATCAATATATTAAGGACATGTTTGTTTATAAATTGTTTCAGTCACATTTAATTCATACATTTAATTTATACTTAAAATCTAACTCAACGTTAACTCAACCCAGGGTTTTTAATATTATTCATATAATTAAAATAATATAAATTAATTATTCTTACACCACGTAAACTTATTCATTATTCATCTACTCACTTAATTTTGACTACTTATCATTTCTAATTACTTCCAATAATTTATCTCCTACTTTTACATCAAATAAATTATTTTATTTTAAATATTATTTTTATACATTTTTAGTATCTCACTAACAATCAACTATTCTACATTTTTTCAAAATTAACTCTGATTAACTAAAATAATTCATTTTAGACGAATTATTTTGTAAACAAGCTAGCCAAATTGATATACTTTTATGGGCACTAGTCAACTTACTGTAACAAAAATGACAATTTTCTTCATTAAATATTGCGTGAGCTTTGGACATAAACCTGAAATTTCGCCTGAGTTTTCGACAAAAATGACAATTTTCTTCATTAAATACTGCGTGAGCTTTGAACAACTGTTTGTAATAGTCTTGTGAATTTTTTATTTATTTTTTTAATTTTTGCATGAAGATATATTATTTCTAAAAATGTATTGTCAAGAAAAATATTTCTACATATATGGAATTAATAACGTAAAGTATACTTTGAGTCATTACAACGCTTAGTAGTTGTAGACTTGTAGTCACTAGTTAAGTCTTCCCTTAGTACTATTATTTATGTCACAACTTGTCAATTACAACGTCATTATTCCGATCTGTATCTCGTTGACTGTGACCCCGTGAACTTTAATTATACTTGTCAAATACAGCTAACTAGTTTTTGGCCCGTGCATTTGCACTGAAAGTTATATGATAGAAGAGAATAAAGTAAAAAAAAACAAATATAAAAATAATAACATAATCATTGAAACAAAATAAGAAATAATATCTAAATATTATTAAATATTTCTTTATATACAACGTTCGTGGTTTTTCTATCGTCACAATCTCCATCAACACAAATTATTATCTCCAAACTCCTCCGACTGATGACTCTAGATCGTGCCACGTACAATTTTGGTCAACTAATCTCTTGTCAACACCTTTTAAAGATGGTAGTTTGCACATTTTGGTACATGACTATTCTAACGATTATATCTTCAAAATAATAATAATAACAACAATAATAATAAAAAAATAATTGATTGATATAATTAAAACAACAAAGGAAAATGTAATAGCTATTTATAAAGACAAAAAATTAAACAGTACCTATAAGCATAGTTGGGTTAACAAACTTGGGACTATTGTACCCTCACTTGGCGTGTACCATGTCCCGAGTTCGAGTCACTCGGAGGGGAATTGGGGAACCAGTTTAGATCCTCCTTTTTAAGAAGAAAAAAACAAACTTGGGACTATTTAAATCCTTGAAATTTTTGAACTTGTACATGGAAGAATTTATTGAAATTTTTGAACTTGTACATGGAAGAATTTATAAACACCGCCAGTTTTGTTTTTCCATAAAATAAGAATATATTGAAATTCATCCATGTTTTGAAGGAGTTAGTATTGGGATTATAAACAAATTTATCTGGCCATCATAATTTAGCTAAGTATTAATTTATTTTAATTAATATAAATAATTCGAATTATAATGTGTCTGATCTTTGGGATTAATTTTTGCAAAATAAATATGAATAAACAATTGTTATAAGTCATTCTTTTGCTGATGGGGATTTTCCAAATACGGGGAATAATTATCATAATTATTTTATTAATAATTATAATAAGCAATTTGGAAGTGACATAATGTGAAG